TTCATTTTAAGAAAAGAGGCATGATTCAGCTCGATTTAAATTTTAAAAACGAAGGAAATAATTAAAGCTTAGGATGTTCAGGATTATTTCTGTCATGGCGAAGACGTACTCCTGCTGCTAAACCATCTCGTTCATGGGACATATTACAACCAAGGATGCCGCATTAGATTCAGTTACGTTCATGGCGAATCTTTTCAAAATACGGCTTTCGGTACCTTTTCCATTTCAGACTTAAGGCAACGTTAATTCTTTGAGGATTATGCCTGAAAATGTCACAGCCTGCCATAACAAATTCATTTTACGCATGGTGCGGTCGCATTTCGCTCTTTCAGTGTACTCAGACTCTACAGGAGGTAATCTTCTTCTTAAGAGTGTAACTTATCATGCTGAGAGCACTGGGGAACCCTCTTTGCCACTGGTTGTGAAGATTGTGGGCAGCTCGCTTTTGGCTCTGCTATGTTTAAGTAGAGTGTTATGGTTTGCTTTTAGATATCGTAAAAAAAATCGGTCAGTATAAAGAATACTCTTGGTCGGCTTCAGTAAATACTGCGTGTGGTTCATTTAAGAAAAAATAGGAACTTAGGTAATTTGTAGGTCACTTACGTATTAATTAACCAAAACAGAGAATAGATATTTTCGATTCCCTATTCAGATCCAACTCAGAACTCTTTGATCCGTAGGAAGTACTTTTTTGATAACATTTAAGAAGGAAGCAAGAACGGCCCAGAAAAAGGTCATCGTCGATGAAGAGGACTAATTTACGTTAGATGGATTAGTCGTGAAGATGCACTGGAACTATTCAAATTAAAAGAGATTATGGAACCTGCCACCTTCTGGTCCGCAACGATCATATTTAACATTTAAGGGTAATAATTGATGACTGTATCTCGTGCTAATATTACATTTCGTACATTTGCACTCGAATCTCCAGGAATATCGGGATTATATCAAACTTATGACATTACCTCTCTGTTAAGCAGTTTCAGCAGCTTAAGTATAACTTAAAATACCCTTAGATCTATCGCATGCAATTTTGCCTTGGGGTAGCCCTTATAATTCGCACTTCCAAAAACTCCACATTAAGCGTTCTGACATTATTTTAAAAACTTTCTGGTAGACGTAAGGGACCTCATTACCCTTCCAAAAACCGCCACCGACTGAAATATTACATCCATTATATAAATTAAAATTTCTCTTAAGGTATCAATACACATCAATATATAGTCACGTCCCGATGTACCAATAACCTTTCAAATTAAAGATTAAATAATTGAATGGTAATTTATTAGAAGAAATAAAAAGGGAATCATAAATTAGGTTAGTATGTTCAACTGTCTTCACTCACTTTTTTCTCTACGGTATTGCTATGAAAGCAGCTTTTACAAAAATAATAATTACAGTGAGCATATAAGAAATAATTCTACTACAATTAAATACATCTTTACATTACGTGCATCACATCATCTATTGATAAATTAATTTTTTTATCAGTTCTCATTTGCTTATGATATTATCCCGATGAGAAAAGTTACATGCAAATTTTTCAATATTTTACTGAAACTTAGGGCAGCTTTGTATGCCAGCAAAATCGGGATTACGTAAACACTAAACCCCAGCCTAACCTGACCTAGAATTTATTGCATTTTTACAAGGCATACAGTTTGTATAGTTCAAGAGAACAGATTCAAGGGAAAACTCTTCTTCAATTATTGTCGCCTCCCAAATTGAATTTGCGGAGCGCTCCAGAAAGGGAATATCCAGTCACAATACCACTCATGAAAAAAGTTGCTGAGACTTTTGCTCTTTCCGGCGGCTGTTTGCGAACAAGGAAATGATTCATTAAAGAAAGTTCTGTTTTCCCAGTTTTTCGGATATGTACGTATTGAACAAATTACGAGATGTTGGGAGCCTGATATTGTTTGATTCACGAGTTTTAAGCACCATGTCGCACATTAGCTAGGAGACTCGCTCGAACGCGATATGGTATTTAAAACTCTTCAGTAAAAACGATATCAGGTTCTTAACATGTAATAATCTGTATTTAAAGTCGTCGTCGTTAGCAATCCCTCGACGTCGAGTAAGATATCAACTTGAATTTTATAACAGTGTTCAGTTTATGAATTCGTTAATGACTAAGCAGTCCGATAATACGTGAGTGTGCAATGTAATAAGTGGCTGATACTAAGTTGTTGCGTTTTAATCAGCGGTAGTGCTTTAATGTTTCTATTATAAATCGTGACGGTATGAAGTGTAATTAGCTTCTTTTCCTCCATAACCAAGGCCAATATACCGTATCATTTTTCATTTGAGACCACGTCTTACACTGGACCGGAGCGAAAATTTCACTACAAAAATCACATTTCAATTCCCCTTCAAGTTTTGTGAACCGGGTTACCGCTGGCAACCAGTTTCACCTTTGTGAGAGTCTGCCCTTAACAACTACAAAAATCTTATTGTCTTCTTATTGAACTCGATTTCTTATATTTCCGCACTTGTTAGATGACGTCGGCAGAAAATAACCCGATATCACTGACTTATTGATTAAACAGCGAATTGCGGAAACTTTGTCTTAGGTTTGCTGTAACTATTTTTCTCCATAGAGGCGTCACGATGAGGTTTTTTTCCAAAGAAAATCTGAAGCGAGGAATCGTTTTCAGCGCAGTTTTTCATTCCAGATTGATGTTCATCGGAGTCGTAATACTACAGGCTTGGCCGAATGAAGTAATCTCACAGTCACGTACGTATAATCATAAGATACCATTGTGCAAGCAACAATAATGTCCAAATTGTTGCCATAAAAAAGTTCCTATCAAACGTTTTTTCATTCAGTATGTGTATGTCAGTTCTGTATTTTTAATCCATCGCTCACTCAGAAACATTGTCCATGAACACTTTTTCACGTAACGTTTAGTATTATAGAAGATAAATTCGTTTAAAGTTAAAGCATCTACTATCTTTCTGATTGTTTCTCAGAATGTTGATCTCAGCCATAATAAACTGCGATCACATACAGATTAATTAGATCGTTTTCGTCTACAGCCTAGGCCAAAACTGCATTATTTTCCACTTGGGACCAAATCTCATGGGACCTGAGCAAACGTCTAACTGAAAGATCCCATGACAATTTTCCCCAAAGATATGAGAAGTTAGGTATGCGTGGGTAATACAGCTGAATTTGTCTGGTTTGTCAACCTGTTTCAACTTTGTAAGAGTCTACAGGAAACCACATTAAAAATCTTACCGTCAGCTTATTGCATTTTCTTTTCTCATATTTCCTTTCTTGAAAAATGACTGTCTTAATCTTCTTAAAGTCCACGATAAAACATCTTGTAGTCGGTTAAATAAACAGCTGGCCAGCGTATTTTTTTGTTGTTGATTGAACTGATGAAATGCTATCCAAACATCACCTGTAAACAGCGAATTGAACAAAGTTTGTTTGAGGTTTGCTGTAATTACTGCAAAGACCGTTTTTGTTGTCGTAGCTAGCTATCGCGATGCGGATTCTTTCCCGAGAGCATTTCAAGCGAGGAATCGTTTTCAACGCATTATTTCATTGCGGATTGACGTTCATAGGAATCGCAATACTACAAGCTTGGCCGAATGAAGGCATCTCGCAGAGCAAAAACCTCACAGTCAAGTAGGTACCGGTATTTTCATAGGATACTCTTTCGAAAGCTAGAGGATATTATATGGCCGCTCGGAGATATACGAAATTTCTCTTCGAGTGTTTTCAACACGAGAAGAGAAATTTCGTATTTCCAAGCGACCATCTACTTTTCTTTTTATAATATAAAATTATCTTAATACACAACGACGTTTTTAAGGATTTTCCGAAGATTCTCTAAAAGTAGTCCGAAGGTAAGACGAACGTTTCCGGAAATTTCACCAAAAGTTTCGAACATTTCCGAAGGTTGCCGAAGATTGCCGGGCATCGCCAAGTACTTCCGAAGAAGATCCGAAGATGTTTCCATCATACACCAACACTTTTAAGTGCTAAGGGACAAAAATGATATCACACGTGTGGATAAAAATGATATCCTAACACGTAAAATTTCGGTTTTATTGATTTGGTACCACTCAAAATACGACTAAATATAGCGAAAGTTCTTAGTTATATCAAACGCTTTTTTTCTGTCAGTTTTGTATCTTTTCTCAATCGCTCACTCAGAAACATTGTCCAGGTACACCCTTTTCAGGAAACGTTTAACATTAAAGATGATAATATTAAATTTAAGCACCGAAAAATACATCCCTGATTAGGATATGTTTCTTTTTTACAACAGAAACTCGCCCTTTTTTACAGGCTTGATATCAAGAGGTACCCAACCGAAGTGTAATCGACAAATTTTTTACGAGGATATTGGTTGCAACGCAATGCTAACGCTGTTAATATACTGCAGCGTTACCATGGTTTCAAAGACTTTTTCAAAAACGGTTTCAAGTACTATCTTCAAAATTAATTCAGAGCCAATATTTTACGGCCTTTCCTATATGTTTATACTAATAAATTCATCATGCCAGGGCCAAAAAATTAAAAGTTCTATAGTCCTAAGTTACTTACTGTCAGTTGTCGTGTTTATTGTTCTAGAGGATCTGTTATAAAGTACGTAAATCGGTGGTGTGGCAACCTTCTGGCCTTAGTGCGGAATGATATTCATCAAATTAATTTTGCACAGGGCTATGGACCTTTTGTTATGTCAATAAACAGCTTGTTGCATGCATGTGGATATATATCTCCAAGAATTGGCTGCATGAGTTGTGTTTTATGAGTCTGCCGATATGGCCATGACATCTTGTTTGCCTGGGTGCCCGTCTCTTGCGTTCTCAAAATACAAAATAGCTGCCAAGCCGGTAAACGAGCGTTAATGAATGGCGTAATTGCAAGATAAATGGAGAGCCGAAGACTTAAGAAATTCTCATGCAATGGGCAGCAAGAACTACAAGCCATGCAGGTTGCTTATTTACAGCTTCTCTTCTGTAAGAAATGATGATCCGACTTTTTCTACACAGGGAAGACAGTGCTGTATCCGTATGAACCAGTTGGCTGTTTCAAGGATAAACAAGATCCACGCGCTCTACCAGAATTAGTCAAATTGTACAGTGTCAACGAGACAGATTTGGCCAATTCCCTTGCACGCGTAATTCAGAAGTGTGCTGCTAAGGTGTATGAGAATGGCTTCTGGTATTTTGGCGTGGAATTTCGCCACGAATGCTGGAGTGGAGTGAACGGTAGCTTGACTTACAACATACATGAGCGATCCAACAGTTGTTTATGGGATCATGGCGTGGGATCTGTATGGACCATATTTGTTTACCGCTTTGTTGAAGGTTAGTTACCAGTTCACAGGAAATTTAGCTTCCTGACAAATCTGAGTCTGAGAACTTGTGTCATGGATGCGTAAGAAACTGCTTTATAATGGTTCCCATGCTTCTGTACATCAAGGTTTAAAACACTAGTTAACATCATAGGTGAAGAAATGTTGCTGGTTTGTTAAATAATAAAGAATTTTCACGCTTTCAAATTATTGCTGAATTTTGACAAGATATTTTCTTTCCTTGGCACCTGAGATTAGGTTTTCCACTTCTTTTGCCGGTATGGCCAAGAACTTTCTGTGTTTAACCTATTTCAGGTAAAGAGTTCCTAGTTCTAAAAATTTGTATGTACACTGGTATTAAGTACCTGCCTAGATTAGTCTCCGGCTGCTCCAGTCCACTGGGTTGGATTACTGAATAAAAACCATTTACCTTTCTGTCGTGAATTGCAAAGTCTTTTTCTACAGAAACGCCATGCATGGCCATCTCACTACGAAATCTTAGAGCATAAGCAAATCAATTTTAACAATTCAAAACTTCAGCAGTCGATACTTTTTCTAAAGCTTTCATGTCATGGATTATTCCCTCTAATCATTAGTGAATGGCAGTTGGAGCCAGTGGTCGTCATGGCAACCATGCAGCGTGACGTGTGGAGGGGGACACAGGACACGTGCTCGCACATGCTCTAATCCAGCGCCTAAATGGAACGGAAAGTATTGTCCTGGGACAAATATCTCTGCAGAGAGCTGTAATTTTCACAAATGTAAAGGTATATGCCTTTTTTTTTGAAATAGTTTTCCTTAAAATGATTCCGGCTTATCTTGATGCTCTAGTATGTTCCTTGCTTTTCATTATGGAAGTGAGTTAGTTTTCGATTTCTAAGGTGGCTTTGTGCCTTAAGAATACACTCAAACCTCTTTTATACAGGCATCAAAGAGGCAGAACTGAATGCCTTTACTATAAATGTGTACGTGAGGGGAGAGGTTCCACCGTAAAGTGTTATTTAAAGTGGTTGTCAGAATGTTGTTAAGACGTAAAGGCAAGAGATCAATATATAAATGTAACATAGTTTTAGACAGACATTAAAACTTACAAAGTACATATAGAGTAAAGAACTGTCCCAATATACTAAAAACTAACAATACAATCTATTTGAAATCAAAGAGACATCTATTTACAGTGCATGAGTCGACTTGGTAAGGATGGGACCTACCGCGTAGGGTGCTGTTCTTACGTGGTCGGAGAACATCCTGCAAGGGATACGAGGGAGTACCCACCAGACTATTCCACAGCCTCAAATCCCTTTCTTTA